TTGTGGGTACATGTAACATCACCCATAGTCATCCAGAGCATAATTTGAGAAATTTACAAGATCCATGAGAGGACATGGGTATACACATAGCCAATCAGATCGTACATTATTTTTTGTGCATGCGAACGCTGAACATATTGCAATTTTCATTGTATATGTAGACGACATTATAATAACAGGAATTGTCCAACGTAGATGAACCAATTGTAACTAATTCTAGCCAAAGAATTTGAGATTAAAGACCTTAGACAACATAGATATTTATTATGTATACAGATAGCCAGATCTAGAAGAGGCATTTTTCTCTCTCAAAGGAAGTCTTTGCAATTTAGACAAAAATGAAATTGTGATGATGGGATCTTGGGTAAAGACGTGTGATATTTTAGTATGTAAATTAATGCCCCCAAGAGTAAAGAATCTCACATGCCCCTGAAGATAGATTGTTAGGAGCCAACTTCACATTTAGGTACCTACTTCAAAAGAAACTTATTTAAAACTACCTATAGGTGGTAGAGACCATGTGAGGTGGATCCACACTCGACCTTCTTAAAGAGATTGTTATGCTTGATTGTAAACCAATGGATCCGATTAAACAAATCATCAACTAGGTGAGGCAAAAAGTGCGTCATTGACTATTGGCAGATATCAAAGATTGGTCGGAAAAAGAGGTTTTTTGGGATAATGTCTGATATTCCATATCTTCAACAAAATCATATATAAAAGAGGTTTTCTTTCCTAGCTTCTATTAGGTACTGTATTTGTTGCTTATGACAAATCATATTTAGTAAATATTTACTTTAAAAAAAGAAAAAAGGATTAGAAAATGTGGCAACTTGGACAGTTTGTAAGGATGCTTTTCCAGCATAATACTAGGAAAATCGGGATCTTACAGAATGCTTTCTAAATCTTTCTTCTCGGTTCAAATTTAACCCCAAGCAATCTACTTCTGTGGCCAGGTAGGTCTCGCTACCCTTCTCGAATGAGAAAATGTATCAAACTCTAGTCGTACGACGCATCAAATATGCTAGGAGACCCCCACACGATTGTCAAAAATTGTTAGATAGTTCTCTTTTCCTATTAGTGACCCTAGATTAACGTGTAAAGTTTAAATACTATGCAGTCAATGCATATTAACTTGTCAAGTTACTTTAAGACTCTCAGGTCCAAAGTGAATGTCTTCATTTCCTCTTTTCCTTGATCAACTAAAGCAATGTACTTCTCAAAATAAAACGAAAGGCAAAATAAGGGGAATCCACTCCCTATGTATATGTTTTTTAATTGCCTAAATCTTTCCCGGGCTTCACTTGCTGCCTAGTAATACAAATAACTTCTTAAAACAATTTTCCTCTAGCTTATTTTCACTAGTCACACTAAGAGCATCAGCACATTTAAATTTGAAATGACCTCAGGCAGTTGGAAATTTTCAGTAAGAAACAATAGTGACGGTAAATATATCATCTGATGGTAAAAATGTAAGAACACTTATAGCGGAGACAAAATCAATGTCGATAGACTAAGAAATCCATATCTTAATTGTATATAATATTTCTAAAACATCAACAGATTCAAAGAACATTGAACAACAAAAACTTCGAGTAATAGCCGTGTCAACAAATAAAATAACACACCTAGCATAATGGACACTGGAAGAGCAGGCAAAGCTTTCCGATACACAGCAAGGAGTATCAGAGTTACACCAAGACCAGCTATAATTGCAAGGTAGCATGCATAAACCGTCATGAAATCATACATTGCAGCCCGACCAACTAAAACACTGTAAAAGATGAAGTCACCCAACCCGAGCTTAATTGCACCCGAGGATCCCAAGCCAATTTCTTGGAGAGCAAAATTTTCACTTGGACTAGCATCTTCCACTGAATTCATCCTGACATTTATTCTATGTTGAATAAGAGGTGCAGCGAGTTCTGCGTCCCCACTAAAAACCTGACCCTCTTCACCATTAACAGAATTAATCTCATTCTCACCACTTCCAACAGATAAATATGTCCCCAGAATAGTATTTGAATTAGTAACAGGACTAGTATTCGGATTAAAGTTAGGCCTCACATCCGAATCTTCATCCAAAGCAGAACCTGTATTCCTTCTTTCTCTCCATACCCTTCTTTGCACGACATCGCCACTTGGCAATGTATCGTTATTAATAACTGGACGAGCCTCGTAAACTAATGCAGGGATATCTTCATCCCGATCTATTGCAAGCTCTACCAAGAGCCTCAAAGGTCCACCGGGCAACAAAACAGCAGCAAGATCATACAATGCCATGGCAATCAAAAGCACCCAAGTTGTCCATTCTGGCAACAGCGTAAACCAATAAGCAACCAGCATCCCAATAACAACCAAGTAAGCTTGGGTAACAAAAATCGCCATTTTCGACATGAACACGGCCAAAACACCAAGAACAGTGAAATTGAACAACATAATCACATAAGTAACACAATCCACAGGCAAGCTGAAATCTTGGAGCAAGAAAATGCCAATCTCACCACCCATAAACCCCAAAACAAGAAAAGAAGAGAAGCCCATGTAGTATTTCAAGAATTTAGTGCATCTGAAATAGAACAAAAGCACCAAGAGGAAAGTAACCACAGTAACAACAGCAACAAAAACAAGTGAATTCAAGAGGGCACCTTTGAGCTTATCCCAAATAGAATCTGAACTGCTCTCACTATAAGCTATGGTGGCTATGGTGGTAAGGGATGACCCATCTGAATCCGTATTCAGTACTGTAACAAGAATTACAACCAATAGCATACATATTGAGACTGGTGTTATAATTCTGATGAGTTCTTCACCTAGAGTTTCAAGAACACTTATGGGTTTTTGATTTTGGTCCATTGAGGATCTGTATATGCGTTTGAGATTTGAGGATTGGGAGACTTTACAGGGTTAATTAACAGATAATAATCGGAAGGTGGGCGAAAAGGGGGGAAAGTATAATTCGTCGTTTATGGAGGAGTGGAAAAGAAATTAAATTTACTAATATTGCACTTTAGGTCCTCCTTTTTAGGTAGGTTTCGTTCTAATTTTGTGACAGAAGGATTTTCAAACTTCTTTCATACACTATTGGCTTAAAAAAAATAAGATTGATACCTCATAAACCTCAACTTTATTTTCGTGCTTTTCTCATATTAAAAATGTTTCCAAAAACATGTTTGAAAATGGAAACACGTTTAAAAACAAAAAATTGGAAAAAAAAAAATTTAATCCTAGTCGATCATTCATCTTTTCAACCAAATCAACCACCACAAAGTTCAACCAAATCCAAACGCAATCCTCCCACGCCGGCTGCTTCTATGGGATGCCCACAAAGGGCAAGGTGAAGAATATGGTAACCTCAATAGTCGGCCACAAATGTTTAGAGAAAGGGAGAGGAAGAAGTATAGTCAAGCATAGGGGTGGGCGCGGGTCGATTC